AACATAAGAAGGAAAATCCTAAACCTTAAATACATACACACACACACAAACACACACACACACACACACACACACACACGCCACACACGCACGCACGTGTGTGCACACACACACACACAGGACACTGCTGACAACTCAGGTTAAAGACGACTCTTCTGAAGTCTCAAAGGCTGGTTTCAGTCACTTCAAAACATAAAACTCGCCAGTGGCACACGGCTGTAATTCTAGCTGTTTTAGAGGCTGAGGCAGGAGGTTTGCAAGTTCAAGGTCAGCCTGGGGAACTTAAACAAGATAGACTACATAAAAAAATGAAAAGGGCTGGAGATGTAGCTCAATGATACAGCACTCCTGGGTTTGATCCCCAATACCACAAAACCACCCAACCCACAAAAACCAATTTCTCATGCAATACTAGTAAATGAGTCATTGCATTTTTTTTTTTTTTGGTCTTTTTTGTTTTTTTTATCGGTACCAGGGATCGAACTCACGACTGCCTGCTTACAAGGCAGGCGCTTATGCCGCTGAGCTAAATCCCCAGCCCGAGTCATTGCATTTTTAAAAAAACCACTGCTGATATCTAAGCTGAGTATAAATTTTGCACAGTACATGGATACTTTTTAAAAATATGTTTACTAAAATACAACTGAAAGAACCAAAGGCTTAAAGTTAGAGATTAAAGTTTTCTTAACTTTAATACGTGAGTCATTTATCTGGCTGAGGTATCTTTTTGCTCTTCCAAACTGCCCCTGAGGATACAAAGGTAAGCAAATACAGAGCTCCAGCTTCCTGGGCTGATGACATTGTCAAGGAGGCAGTCATTAGTCACAGAAACAAATGCAGTTGAGTCTGAGGGACTTGTGATAGGAATAAAATCTGATGTGTAAAAAGAAGGTCTGCAAGGGAAGAGGGCACAGAATAGCACTCACTAAAAAAGGAAGGAACAGCACACCAAAGCATGAAGTTTTTTTTTTTTTTTAATTTTATTTAAGGAGAAAAGAAAAAAAAAAGCAGAGAAAGGGTACAAGTTATACAGATTTACAGAAAAAAAAATAAACCGTAGGAAATCACTAGTTAATGGATTACATATTGTCATCTTAGAAATAATTGTTCAAGTCACAAAATTAAAGCTTGTAAAGTGGACATTCCAACAATGATACTGCAAACAGTTCTGTTCAATGATCCAATAAAACTCTGTGATATCATTTTCTATCTTATACACTTAAATATACATGCAGTTATATAGTTTAGAGCACTTTCTTTTCCTCTATCTTGTACAATGACTATTATACATTTTGGGTTTCATTGCTCCCACGGTTCTTATTACTCTTTTGGAAGAGAGTAAAACCAAATGTGACATAACAGAACAGAATCGGTCAAGTCAAAAGGGTGGACATGATAGATAATGTAAAAACATAATACAAGGTGATCAACAATGGTTACCATAATGCCTCCCCCTATCTCTAACAGAATTGCCTATATCATTAGTTATAATACAATTGAGCAAAACAGTAAAGAATAAAACCGACAAAACCAAAACATTGGAGACATTGTAGGTTGAAGTTTTAAGTGAACACAAAGTAACTATGATTTAATTTTCAGATGATTAATACAAAGACAGCACAATGTTAAAAGCTGCAAAATTTAATGCTTTCTAGTCTATCTTTAGTAAGAAATTATTTCATGTCTGTCAGAATTTTCTTTATACAAATACTGCACATGTTAAGATACTTAAAACTGTTGTTATATAAAACTGAATGAAGTATTTCTCATACTGTTTGTAAATTTTTTAAAAAAAAAAATCAACCTTAATCTTTAAGGCCCTTTAGAATTTTCTATTCTTTTCTTTAAATAGAGGTTTTTGTTTACAAGAAAGTAGGAAGTATGCTTTACTAAACTGTTCTCATGAAGTTATTACACCATAGAAGAGTACTAAGCAATTCACTCATTTCCTACCAGAATTTTTAAAGTCCCATACCAACTTAATTCAACCAAACAAACAAAATATATACGTACAAAATATATACGTATAATTTTAGATACTGGAGCTGGAAGAAAAAGTTTTGGGGGGAAAAAAGGCATCAAGACGATTCCTTAAAAACATTCCTTAAAAAAATAAAGCATAAAGAATTCCAAGAGTGATTGTTAAGCACAAAAGGATTCAAACTGATTACCAATAATTAAATCTGATGTGGAATTTACAGCTAAGTAGATATGGATTAACTGGAATTATTTCATATGCCTTTTAACATATATAGAAAAAGTTCTTTTTGAACACTTTATCTTTTAAATGGAACTTAATTTACTCAAATTCACTGTAGAACTTTGTCAAAACATAAGTCTTCAGAGGCCAATACTACTTGCTCATCTTAACTTTCACTGTATTCATTAAATGAGACCAGACTGGGGCTCAGAGTGGTGTATGCACTTAAACTGAATTCAACCTTCCACTTAAGAGAGATTAGAAATAGAAAACATATAATCCCTCTTAACTGCGCAGTTTCTGATTAACTGTCTTAAGCAGTGAAGAACTGTCCAATTAAAGTGTTTCTAACAGAGTTTTTTTTTTTTTTTGTCTACTGTGAATCTACCAAAGGAGTTTTCAAATCATGGGATATGTGCATCTTCAAGAAAACAGTAGGAACTATGAATAAGAAAACTGGATATGAGGGAACTAAAGCTCTTTTGTGATAAATTCAAGGGAAACTCAACAATATCTAAAATATCCAGATACTGAATTTATTTCCAAACCCATAATGTTTGTAAGCAAGAGCCAAGCTGCCAGTTGAACCCAAAACCTTCTGAAGTCATCATTACTAAGTATATTCACCCCACCTATCCAATTAAAGAAAGGAAAGGGGAAAAAATACTACTACTCAGATTTGGGGAAAAGAAGGGGTCCATGAATAGGGGCCTGAAGGAAGTAGCAGCAACTCACTTTCTGGAAACAACTGAGAAATGAGATGGTCGGCCTAATACAAGAATCATCAAAAAAGCAGGAAAACCAGAAAACTAAGGAAGTGGCTTCTTTTACTAAGTGCTTCATTGCTGGTTTTTTCCCTCAAAGACAATGGCTTGTCACACCATGAAAAGGGAAATGAGTACGAGGTGGAACTGTGATTAAAAAGCTGAGCGACACCAACAGAATTATGGGAAACATAGGAATAAGCCTTCAGAGCTGCACAGATAACGAAGTAGGACGTGCTTATACGTGCTATAAAGCTTGCGTTCAGTGACGACACACCAACTCAAGTTCAGCAAGAGAACGACTGCCCTTTCCAATCTGGTGAAAAAATTTAGGTTCAAGTTTCACCACAAATAAAATTTTCATGATGTATACCTGTACCAGCAGCCAAGCTATATTCCACCTACCGGTACAGAAGATCAAAGTAGAAAACGGCACACAATGATCGCCACGGGAACAGTTCTCTATTACAAACTGCTCAAACTTGCAAACTGTAATAGAATGTGCAATTGGAAATTTCTTGAACATTTCAGAACAAACCTCAAAATGAAAATTCCTTATAAATCTTTGGCTGGAGCTTTTTTTTTTTTTTTTTCCCGAGACAGGGTCTCCTTGTGTAGTTCAAACTGGCCTTAAATTCACTATGTAGGTCTCATAATAGCAGTGATCCTCCTGTCTCAGCCTCCTTAGTCTAGGATTACAGTGTGCAGCAGCACACCTAGTTTAAACTTTATTTTTTAAAAGGTCCGCAAAATATTAATATATGTTAAAAAGGTGGCAAGTTTTATTATAGCTAATAAAACCAAAAATGGCATAACCAAAATATATCAACAAGAATGTCAGAGACAGCAACAATATTCCTTGGAGGAGACTCACTTTCCGAATAAACACTGCACTTCAGAGACAGAGCACAAAATTTATCTGAACACTAATGTTAATAGAATAAATGAAGCAGAGCATCAACTTTAACAGATGAAATTAAGATCAGACAATTCTGATCTTAAAAAAGAATTTCAAATTTCTCATAAATTTTTAAATTATCCCTACATCAAATACAGAACACCCACTATCACCACCAACAAAAGAACGCTTTCACCAAACCAGAGTAGCTTTGAGATTTCAAAAATAAATACGGAAAATAGCGCTGATGTTTATATAAGTGAGACCACAAAAACTATGCGCACAAGTAAATCCAAGGCTCCCTACCACATTACCAATCAATAGCTCACGGGTGGCGCCTCCTCCCCTCGGTCACTTCCCGGTGACTACTTCAATCAAGTATACATAAAGCTGCGGAAAACACCCAAGAAAGGGAATGGGGAAGGCACCTTTTACAAACTTAGCTACTACCCAAGAGTGGCTGCTAATTTCACAAACAATAGCATAAAATAAGTAAACACAACATTTGGCCAATTACCAGGTAACAGAAGTTCCACCACGTAATCTGGGCCTGGGCCTTTTTTTTTTTTTTTCCCCCCAAAAAAACATGTAACCGAAAGCACAAGTCATTTCCCTCTTGATATTTTATTCATGCTGACCAAACTATTCAAACTGAAAGGACAGCAAAACAAAAGGGGGGGGGAGCGATCTGAAGAGGAGGAAAAGCTGGGTGTCCGATCCGAGTCCCCTCCTCGGCCGGCAGCGACTTCTCCCAATACAGGATTGGGCCGAGGCGACTGTCTGGCGGAGGGAGGAAGGCGACGCGGGGCGCTGGGCAGCCCAACACCCCGGTTACTTTCCGCCCCGCGCCCGAGGCCCTCCCGGCGCGCCCGCCCGCAGCACACGCTCAGGTGCAAACTTTGAAAAGGCGCAGCGCCCGGGTCTCGCTCCATCCGGGATCCGGACTCCGGGACCCACCCGCCCGGCCCGCGACCGAGGACGTTGACTGGGCCGCGGGCCGGCCCGGAGGACCCGCGGAGGGCGGAGGGCGCCGCGCGGCCCCCCGGCCTCCCCACCCCCGGCGACTCCGGCCACGACCCTCCTCGCGCTCGCGGACGAGCGGCCGGCCAGGCCTGCACCCCTCGCCCGTCACCCTCACCTTGGTGGCCATGGCGAATGGCTCCTCTGGCCCGGGACGGCCAGCTGTTCTCCCGCGCCGCGGAGGACGGGGCGAGGGCTAGGGCGGCGCGGCTGCGAATGGGCCCCGGCGCGGCGGAGGCTCCGCCTCGGCCCGAGTCTCGGCGCTGGGCGACTCCAGCCGCCGCCCGCTCCTGCAGTTCCTGAAAGTCCCCGGCTGCGCGGCCCCCGCCCCCGCGGCCGAGCCTCCCATTTCCCGCGGCGTGCGCGGCGCGGCGCGGCCGGCGGAAGCGCGCTCGGGCGCTCGGGCTCTCGGGCGCTCGGCCTCCGCTCCAGCTGCCGCCGTCGCCGCCGCCGCTTCAGCGCGTCCGGCCCCCGCCCCGGCACCCCGCGGGACACGTTTGGGGTGTGGAGGACCGCGCTGGGGGGACGCTTGCCGAGCCAACCCAGCGCCGACTCTAGTTCGCGCTTGGCCCGCGCCGCTCCTGCGGCGTTAAGTTTGGCGGCAGGGAGCCAGGAGAGGGGCGACAACGCTATGCTGTGCCCTGGTGGCAAAAGAGCCACCCTCCCGGGATCCCTGTCCCGTGCTGGCTCGCCGTGGGGTCGGGGGTCGGGCGGCTCGGGGCTGAGGGTCCTGAGTGCCTCAGGAACCGCCGGCAGGGAGCAAGGCAGTGGCTTCCCGCGCGAGGGCACCAGCCGGGGGTTTCCCTCGGGTTGCGACCAGCTGGGGCTGCTGGGCCGGGACGCTTGGGGGCTTCCTCCCATTTACCTCCTACTGCACTCTAGATAAATGGAAGGATGTCTCAGCGCCCCGGGGACTTAGGAGGAAAGATGGGTCTAAAAACTTCCATGTTTTTGTCAAAGTGCCTTTTTTCCTAGTTGGATCTTATTAATAAGTAAATTACTTAAATTGAGCAGTAAGGTTTTTACGTGTCCAGGCCTGTAGGAAATCCCATGTCTTCCCCCACAGTCTTTGACATAGAACTTAAAAATATTAACCTGAACTAGTAACTATCACATTACAAAAGACAAGAATGGAAGGTGCACACACACACACACACCATTCCTTTCCTGATTGAACCCAGGGGCACTGTACTACTGATATAAATCCCCAGAGAACCTCTCTCTTTTAAAATTTTGAGATAGGGTTTCTGAATTATCTAGGCTGGCCTGGAATTTGTGATTCTCCTGTCTCAGCCTCCCAAATAACAGATCATGGGCTTATGCCACTGTACTATTTTAAAGTGGCACAATGATTTGGTACATTTTGCTTTTCTTAGAGATACATGTATTATAAGAGACATTTATAAAATCTATTTCAATAAAAAATTAGTATTTAGAATCTGTCGAATTTGGGTCTTCTCAAAAAATTATATTTGACCTCCAGGGAGTTTTCTCCCTGGTGTTTGAGTAGTTCTTCAGAATTTTCATATTTGTTGCGTTCATTGTAAAAATTATGGTCTTGGTAATGTTCATAAATAGTGGTCTAAATACAGAAAAAGGAAAGTCAAACCAACATTCATCAACTCTATACTAGACTTTTATATGCCTCCATCTCATTTTATCCTTTGAGAAAGTTGTTGTCCATTATTTACAAAGATGAACAAATCACATCCACTTAAATAACTTGCCTCATTTGGTAATACTTACTAAAATTAAAAATAAGTAAGCTTGGATCCAGGAGCTCCACTTTCACAATTTTGTCCTGTCAGACTTGTAAAGTGAACAAATGTTCATCAAAGGGTTGTTCTATAATAACACCAAACAGAAGGCAAGTTTGTGACTAGGACTATTTCAATAAGTAAGATATATCCATCCATACAATCAAAATTGTAGGAAGGCTTTTAGACAGTGGTAGTGTGGTCTGTCCTCTGATTCAACCAACCTCCAATTGAAAATATCCAAAAAGAAAAACTATTGAAAATATATAGACTTGTTTTTCCATGGTACCTATTTTCTAAGCAATACAGTGCAACAGTTATTTACATAGCATTTATGTTATATTAGGCATTATAAATAATATAGAGATGATTTAAAGTGTACAGGATGATGGGTGAAGGTTACATACAAATACTATAACATTTTATATATGAGACTTCAATTTTATATACACAGGGTTCTGTGAACAGTTACCCCCTTGATATTGAGATATGACTATATTTTAATAGACACTAATAAAAACATTTTGTGTAGTCTACTTGTGCACAAAATGAGAAAATATGTTGTACATGCCTAGAAATTTTCAGAAAAGATCACCTTTATTTAAAAACCAGTTTACATTTTAATAACTGAATAAATATCTTGGCTAAGAGCACACTACTATGTGGAAAACCAGGATTTGAACTCAAGTAATGTTGAAAATAAATGAGTTTTCCATGTCCTTTTAAATTTGGAGAGCTTCAGCTCTCTCCCGCCATCCAACAATGCATGCTTTTAAGAAGGTACAAGGTCAGGGACGTGGCTTTCCACTTACTCAAATGATAATGTAGCTAATTATTTTGGGTACCTGGCACCAAGAAAGGAAGGCCAGAGAGTTCAGCTTTTCCCACCTGCATGATTTCTATAGCCTTGGTTTCACTTTTTAGAGGTAATGGTAAAGAACTGGTGCAACCACTATGGAAAACAGTATGGCAGCTCCTCAAAGAATTAAAAATAGAACTACAGTACTATGTGATCCAACAGCCCCAAATGTGGATATACAGCCAGAAAATAAATGAGTATCTCAAAGAGAAATCTGCAACTGTGCATGCAGCCAAGACGTGGAAACAACTGTCAACAGATAAAGAAAATGTACTTATGTAAAGCTAGATGTGGGGGTAGTGCAGGCCCGTAATCCCAATACTTGGGAGGCTGAGGCAAGAGGATCACCAGGGGGTTCAAGGCCAGTCTGGACTACATAGTGTGTTCAAGGCCAGCTTTAACTACATAGCATGACCTGTCACACACACACACACACACAGTATACATACACAATGGAATAATCCTTTAATGGGAAAGAAATTTTTCTTTTGCAACAGAATAGATGAAACTGGAGAACATGCCAAGTGAAATAAGCCAGACAAAGAACAAGTACTGCAAGATCTCACTTTCATGTGGTATCTAAGCATATGAAACTCTTAGAAGTAGAGTAAAAGGACGCTTACCACGGGTTTAGAGTGTGGGAAATGGGAAGATCTTGGTCAATGTGTGTATAGTTTCAGATATTCAGGATGAATAAGTTCTAAAGTTATAATGTATAGCCGTATGCTTATAGGTAGTAATCTGGCGTGTGCTTTCAGTGTTGTGAGAGAAAGGTGACTACGTGAAGTGACAAATATTTTAATAAGCTCAGTTATGGTCAACATTTCACAATGTATATCAAAATAGCACATTGTACATCTTAAGTATGCACAATTTTGACAATTCTATATCAATAAAACTGGGGGAAAACACTTTAAAAAGTAACATTGGAGACACCAACCTCAGAATGACCAATGCAAATTAATATAAATGCTTAAATAAAAATGAAATCACAACCTATAGTACTGAGGCAGTAAAAACCCCATGGCATTGCTTCCTGGCACCCTGGCATGCACACACAGATGTAACCCTCGGGGAAATGTGATCTCTGATTCCTACTCACCACACTTTCTGGGCTCTCTGCTTGCACCACACTGGCCCCTACTTGCCTCCCGCTGGCCCTTGAGCCTCACGTCCTCCTCCAGTGAGAGGACAAGGTAGGGCTCTGTGAGTACACACGCCGTGAAGCTGTGTGGGGTCCCACGCTGACACAGGCCCTGTGGTTGCTCAGTCCTCTGCTGGAACTGTCTTTAACTCTGCATAGTTTTAAACAAGGCACACTTTTCACTTTACCCTGGGACTCCAAAAATCATCTTGCCTGATCTGGCAAGGAGGTTAAATATGTTGTATGGTTGTCTGAAACGGACGCCCCTAAGGACAATCCGCTCCCCCTACACACACCTATCCTCCACTTCTGAGCTACCTTCATATGTCATAACAGTTATCACAGTTCCTTGGGGAAATCTTCTCTCTCCTTGAAGTCAAGTTTATGTTTCTCAGAAAATACTAGTTATTATTCTTGTTATTTCTATTTTACTCAAAATTATTTTTTCCTTATGTTCACATAGCTCAGAGCCCAACTCAGTGCTAAGTCAATGAATATGAAACTAATGTGGAAATGTGGCACTACAGTGACTTGTGGAATAAGGTAAAGAATGCAACGATTCTTTAACACACATGCTGGAGGCAAGAAAGAGTACAATGCAGACCCTTAGAAACTGCCTGGGCCCAACTCAAAGGAACATCTGTCCAGCCCTTCCTTCCTCCCACTTCTTGCTATTAGTTCACTGGGGTTAAATTCTCAGGATGACCTTGAAAATAAACAGGAGACATGGGCGCAGCAGGTGCCTCCAATCTCAATAATGTATGAAGGCCTCACCTTGTACCAGGTGCTATCACAGGTGTCAGAGATAAGTCTCTGCTTTATTAGAACATACAATCTGTAGAGGGCAGGGGAGGAAGAATAATAAACTACAAACAAATATATAATATGTCAGCCTTTTAAAAAGTACATGAAAAGAATAATTCAGGGTACTCTGATGAGGGTAGAGAGATGGGAGAGGTTATTTTCTATAGGGGTTTCCCTTGGTGTTAGGCTATGCAATTAAATGCTGTCAAGCATGTGTTTTTTTATTTTGTTCATTTTGGTTGGTTGGCTAATTGGTTCATTTTCATTTATGTTCTACTTTGATTCAGTTACTTTTTCTGATGCCTGGGAGTCACAAGGCCATGAACAGTAATGGGATTCCGCATCCAGGGCAAAAATCTGATCACTATGATCTGAGGAAGTCAGGAAGGGACAGTAGATATAGCAGGAAGAGGCCACCAGATGTCATGAGGCTGCATAGATGGTGGGCAGGAAAGGCTGGAACAAGGACTATCTGCTCTTGGGTCTTTACTATATTATTTGCTGGAAAGAGAGCTGAGCTATGAAATGATGGTTGTGAGACTGGCTCATCAGATGGATTCTTGAGTGAGCCACTAGCCTGCATGATCCCAGTTGTCTCTTGAATCTAAAAGCTAAATGTCTCATGTAACATTCTAGCACACATATGCATACTCCCCATATCCCTTCTTTGCAGAAAAGAACTCTAGTGACAGTGTATGGGTGCAA